ATCTCAATTTCAAATCAAAAGTTACTGAATCATGTTTTGAATTGTTTGAATTGCAGCTATACGCGACGTCGCGCCTGATCCGAAGAATTATAACAACCGCGCGCGCGTGTGCGTCGTTCCAATACTTGTGCGCGCTGCGCTGAATAACAAACACTAACTAATTTAAATTTTCCTACAGTGCTTCTTAAGAATCACCGTTGGAAATGCCTTCTTTCGTTGATTACTTCAAAATGACAGCTTGCCAGAAGAATAATTCACAGGGAGTTTAGTCCCCTTTACTATCTTTCAACCAAGTATGTTTTTCAACAATAATTACGCCAGTTACTTTTCGGATGGCTGCAAATAATGGACTATAGCTTTAAGTGAGGAATGCCAAACACAAAAACATAATTTTGACGTCATCCCCAAAGAGCACCCCTCTAGCGGCACATCAAAAAGAGTTTAACCTTTTCAAATTTAAAAACCCTCAATCAAAAATTTTACCACATGGCCCCTTCATATTCCGTTAGCAACCACAAATGAATTTGCAAGGTTTCAAAATCATGACGTCATCGAACCAGAAGTTACCGTAGGGAGAATTTAACAATGATCATTTTGTTAATTTCCACTTCATTTGATCCCTGTCTCATGACTTTGTTCCTAGTCCAATTTATGACATCTGCTACACTTAAAGTTGACCTTTTGCTTCCAAATACTATGACGTCATCTAACCGGAAGTTGGGTGTTATTATTACACACACTTAGAATGTCCATATTTCAATGAGTTATTTTTACTTTATGTTTAACGGGTATTCTCCTTGAACTAAATCAGTATTCCCTTCCCTTTTTTGACTGACGTCATCAAACCGGAAATAACTTGTACGTGTACCGAAAATGTATACGGAAGTTCAAATTTCATGATCCTCTGTTCTTACCCAAAAAATATTCACAACCCAACTGGATATTGTTTCACAAAACAGTTGTCTACCGACCACTCTGCGTTTGTAACAACAAACGCGAACCTCTAGTAAATCTTCTTTGTTGAGTGGTCGGGCACAACCCGACCACTCTCTGTTCATGTTATTGTTCTGGTAAATCTTTCTTCTTTTTTCCGGACAATACTTCTCCGCGGCTTTTCCCCTAAACGGTATATGGTATGAACTTGTAACTTTCAATATATATCGACCCTCATCCGAAGTGGTGCATATTACTCTGACGTCATGATTACGTCATCAGGTGTCAAATAACAAGTGATTTTATCTGAAAAAGTGACCAATTACTTTCACCCATAACTTTTGAACTAAACATTCAATGATGTTTGTATTCTGTAAATCAGATAGACCATTAATCGCTTAACAGTTTTTGCCGTGTACGTGAACTCGCTTGACCTTTACTTCCGGGTCTACCGGAAGGTCAAAGTTAGGTGAATTCAAAATGAAGACGTTAGCCTGAAATCAAAACAAAGCAACATTTCTTCCGAACGGTTCACGGTATGATCACAAAACCTTGTGTGAACTTGTACCGTGTTACGAAGATGTTATAAATTTTGTTACGTCATCATGACGTCATCAGGTATCAAATTACAAGCGATTTAAGGGCAAATTTTGACAAAATAGTTTGCTTTATATCTTTTGAACTAAATAGCGTATCGTGTTCGTTTTTTCGTGAGGTTGTAGACTATGCCGTGAGAAACATTTCGTGTTCCCGGACGCATAAACCGCTTGACCTTTACTTCCGGTGTTACCGGAAGTGCAATAAAAACTGAATATAACTCAAAAGCGGAAGCATTTTACTACAGACATATATATTATGAAAGTGTTTAGTGAGGAATGCAAGATGCAAAAAAACAGTGTGATGACGTCATCATCCGAAAGGGCGCCCCCTATCGGCACATAAAATAGAGTTTCCCTTCTTTAATTGTAAAACCATCCGTCCAAATTCTACCAAATCGGCCCTTGATATTCTCTGATTAACCACAGATAACTTGGCAAGGTTTCAAATTCAAGACGTTATCGAACCGGAAGTTGCCTTAAGGAGAATTTAAAAAGGATCTTAGTTTTAATTTAATTCTATCATTTGATCCCTGTCATATCTTCGAAGTCCAAATAATGATATCCATTACAATGTTCACCTTTGGATCTCTAATGCTGTGACGTCATCAAACCGGAAGTTAGGTGTTATCAATACGTCATCAAACCGGAAGTTAGGTGTTATTAATACAAACAATTATATTTCCCATATTTTCGTACGTTATTTTAACTTTACAATGAGAAATTATCCTCTCCGAACTTCATCAGTATTCACTCACCATTTTTGACTGATGACGTCATCAAACCAGAAATAACTTTTTGTGCACATAGAATGTTTACTGAAATTTATTACACCGTTAAAGATAGCTTTTTGAAACATTGATTGTGCTTGAAGGGATTTAATGTCCTGATCCTTTTTTCTACATAAACATATATTCTTAACTTAACTGGGCAGTGTATAATGAAAAGGCTGTCTGCCCGACCACTCTGCGTTTGTAACTAAACAAACGCGAAACTCTAGTTTGGGTCTTTCTTTCTTTCTTTCTTTTTCCGGACAAGAATTTTCCGCGGGTTTTCTCCTAGACAGTTTATGATATGAACTTGTAACTTTCAATATACATCGACCCACATCCCAAGTGGTGCATATTACTCTAACGTCACGATGACGTCTCGGTGTCAAATTACAAGCGATTTTTGGTCAAAATATGACAATTTTTCGTGAATTATAACTCATGAACAAAATACACGATCACGTTCATACTTTTTGATCTGATGGACAATACCTAGATAAACATTTTTGATTTTGAAGTCAAAGTCGTTTGACCTTTCCTTCTGGGGCTACCGGAAGGTCAAATTTAGGTGAATTCAAAATGAAGACGTTAGCTTGGAATCATAACAAAGCAAAATTTCTTCCGAACAGTTTATGGTATGAACATAAAAGATAGTGTGAACTTGAACCACGTTATGAAGATGTTATAAGTTTTGTAACGTCATCATGACGTCATCAGGTATCAAATTACAAGCGATTTAAGGGCAAATTTTGACAAAATAGTTTGCGCTATATCATTGGAACTTAATAGAGTATCGTGTTCGTTTTTCCATGAGGTTGTACACTATGCCGTGAGAAACATTTTTTGTCCCGGACAGAAAACCGCTTGACCTTCACTTCCGGTGCTACCGGAAGTGCAATAAAATCCGAATATAACTCAAAAAGCAGAAGCAGTTTTCTCCACCGTTTAAGATACATTTTTGTAACAAAATAGTTGATTGTACTGGAAGGGATTTAATTTCGTGATCCTTTGTTCTATATATACGTATATTCCTAACTTTCCTGGGCAGTGTATAATGAAAAGGCTGTCCGTCCGACGACTCTGCGTTTGTAACTCAACAAACGCGAATCTCTAGTTGTTCTGATAAATCTTTATTTTTTTTCCGTACGGCACGTTTCCGCGTGTTTTTCTCCTAAACGGTATATGGTATGAACTTGTAACTTTCAACATATATCGGCCCTCATCCCTAGTGGTGCATATTACTCTGACGTCATGATGACGTCATCGGGTGTCAAATTACAAGCAATTTTCGTTGAAAAAAAATGATGATATTCTTTCACCTATAACTCTTGAACAAAACGATCATTTGTTTTCCAACCTTGTAATCAGATAGACCATCAATAGATAAACATTTTTTGTCGTGTACGTGGACTCGCTTGACCTTTACTTCCGGTTCTACCGGAAAGTCAAAGTTAGGTCAATTCAAAACGAAGACTTTAGCCTGAAATCAAAACAAAGAAACAATTCTTCCAAACGGATTACGGTGTGATCATAAAACCTTGTGTGAACTTGTACCATATAACGAAGATGTTGTAAATTTTGTTACGTCATCATGACGTCATCAGGTATCAAATTACAAGCGATTTAAGGGCAACTTTTGACAAAATAGTTTGCGTTATATCTTTTAAACTAAATAGAGTATCGTGTTCGTTTTTTTTTCGTGAAGTTGTAGACTATGCCGTGAGAAACATTTCTTGTTCCCGGACACAAAACCGCATGACCTTCACTTCCGGTGTTACCGGAAGTGCAATAAAAACCGCACATAACTCAAAAGCGGAAGCATTTTACTACACACATCAAATTAGAAAGTGTTTAGTGAGGAATGTCAGACAAATAAAACAGTGTGATGACGTCATATTTCGAAAGGGCGTCCCCTAGCGGTACATAAAATAGTGTGTGCTTTCTTTAATTTGAAAAC